GCTACACCTTTGAAACACAGTCTACCCTCCATCTCTGGTGCCATTGCAGTCCCGCTACACCTTTGAAACACAGTCTACCCTCCATCTCTGGTGCCATTGCAGTCCCGCTACACCTTTGCAACACCTACAGTCTACCCTCCATCTCTGGTCCCATTGCAGTCCCGCTACACCTTTGCAACACCTACAGTCTACCCCGCATCTCTGCTGAACTCACTGGTCCCCAACTTCACTCCTAGCTTCTGCAGCACCTCTGCTACTTTCACAGGCTCTGCTGCACAGGCAGTTTCCGCTGCACCCATCAATGTCCACTGTCTTCAATGCCCTTTTGCTGCACCGGCAGCCTCTGTTGCATTTCAGTTGCTCCTCAGCCCCCACGTCTGCATGCATCTGTTGAATTACCTAGATCAGGGGCGCCCACAATTTTTCGTTCGGAGACCTACTTTTCAAATGACAAGCTCAATGAGATCTGCCAACGAAAAAACCCAGTGAGATTACAGATGAGATTTCCCAGCAATGCTCTGCCGATGACAAAGCAATCCCAGTGTGCATTGCTGTGCCAAACTGAAGTCATTTTTGCCTTTTCAAAGCAGGAAGTGAATGCTCTGCAAGTGTAAGTATTTCACAATCACAGCATCTTACACCTGACATGTCCATGTTATTATTAATCATCATACATAGAGGGATGCATGGGTAGAATTTGATTTTTGAGTGTAAAAGTACACTTTAAGTGGATTTAAAGTGTTTAGATGGATTACAGTACATGCACTGCCTGGCCAAAAAAAAAGTCACACACTCTTAACATTCGGTCGGACCGCATTTAGCTTTGATTACAGCACACATTCGCCGTGGCATAGTTTCCATAAGCTTATGCAATGTCACGACATTTGTTTCCACCCAGGGTTGTATTCATTTTTCACCAAGATCTTGTGGTGATGATGGGAGAGTCGGAGCGCTGTGTAAAGTCTTCTCCAGCACATCCCAAAGATTCTCAATGGGGTTAAGGTCTGGACTCTGTGGTGGCCAGTCCATGTGTGACAATGATGTCTTATGCTCCCTGAACCACTCTTTCACAATCTGAGCCCGATGAATCCCGACATTGCCATCTTGGAATTGTTGGAAATGCACGAGCATACGCTGATATAATGTAGCTCCCTCCTCATGTATCATTTCCCCCTCCCTTTTAGATTGTAAGCCCTCAGGGGCAGGGCCCTCCTTACCATCCTGTCTTGAATTGTATTGTGATTGTAATGTCTGCCCTATGTTGTAAAGCGCTGCGCAAACTGTTGGCGCTATATAAATCCTGTATAATAATAATAATAATAATAATAATAATATGATTGTATTTCTTGTGTAGTTATGTATTTTGAGCACTAGATGGTGCTGTAGCACAACGCTAGTCTGCATGATAGTTTTTTCTATGCTAAGGTGACCAGATTTTTAAAATGAAATTCGGGGACATTTTTTTTTTTTAATGGCCAATGGTAAAAAAAAACAATTTTATTAGCATATTTTCCTCAAATTGTATATGCAGTGTCTTTGGTATACACCAAATGATGTCCCCGGGAACATAAAAAAAAAAAAAAGTATGCTCACGTGATTCCTGGATCCATCAACGAGCGCAGCCTCCCATCTCCCACGCTGTCAGAAGCTGCATAGGGCATGTGCTGGTTACTATTTACCCCCAGGGGTCAGCAGTAGGTACCCAGATAGCAAGGATAACTTGTGTCGGGGTTAAATTGTAATTCTTGTTCACTTGCTGCACACATTCCTGGCAGGTTGTAGACTTGCAGAACACTCGCAGCACAAGTTCTAGGCGACACTTTTTGAATTTGTAGCAATTTTGCTCGGCGAGTCTGCAGCAAGAGTCCGGCAGGTCTTAGGCCTGGTTCACACCTGGGCGTTTTACAGTGCGTAGGAACGCGCTGCAAAACGCACTACGCCCAGAAAAGTACAGGAGCTTATTTGGGGCGTTTTGCCACGCGTTTCCATTGGTATTCCCGAGTGTGGATCGGGGTTAACAAAGTGGTAACCCCCGAGCCACACTCGGGAATACAGCGTACCGGTCTTACCTTGTCCGCGATCCCCGCTGTGTCTTCGGCGGCTGCCGACTTCCGGGTTCTTTCCTTTGCGAGCGACAGCGTAGCAGGGGGGCCGGAGCGGGCGGGAAGTTTAAAAGTGAAACTAAAAATATATATATTTTTTTAAATAGAGAAAATAAAGGAAAAAAATAAATAAAAATCATACCGCCAGTGAAACGCACATTTCACTGAACAAAAAAACGTTAAAAAAACAAGCTAAAAAATGAGCATAAAAAAAATGCTCAGGTGTGAACCCAGCCTTAAGGTGCCCATACACTGCACGATTATCGTACGATAATCGTATGCGATCGGTTTTTCGTACGATAATCGAGCAGTGTGAACGGAGACGTGCGACCGTTTCTACTGTACGGTCGCACGTCTTCTGTCGAACCAGCATGTTCGAAAACCAGCCGGGAATCGTACGATTCTCGGCTGGTTAGAACGGTGCTCGGAAGATAAATGCTGAACGGGCCGGTGTGCGCACGCGCACACTGCCCGTTCAGCATTGCGGTCATCGGAAGCCCGCCCCTCAGGGGGGCGGGCTTGCGATGATCGAGAGTGCGATCTGCCTGTCCAAGATGGGCAGATCGTACGTTTTTTTAATCCCTTTACAACCATCGCAAGACTAAAGTCTTGCGATGGTTGTAGAGTGTATGGCCACCTTTAGCAAGAGCTCTGCTACTGTACAGCACTTTTTGCAAAGCACGTTGATCTGGAGACTTGTAATGCAGACTTGCTGTAATTGTGCAACAAAATTGTGAAGCTTGGCAAGTCTAGCAATAGTTTAACAAGTCAATTTATAACTTGCAGTTCAATTACTTGCTATCTGGGTGATGCATGGCGTGCAGGGGTGATGAGTAGGTAACTATCAGGATCCAAAGCACCTCAAGTAAGCCGACAGTCGGCTCTACAAGTTTAAACAGACTCCCGGCGGCAAAAGTCGCCGGGAGTCTGTTTAAACAGCCCCGATGCTGGCGACGTACACTGTACGTCGTCAGTCACAAAGGGGTTAATCCCTCCCTGCAGTCAGGACTGTGGCTCAGTATCCAGTCGCCTTTCCCTGTGAATCCTGAGTACCATGTCCTGTTGCCACTACGTGCTTGGAATCCTGTTACCTGCTTGAGCCCCGTCACCATTCTCTGAGTTAGCCCTGAGCCCTGGTGCCCCCCATCACCCTGACATTTGTTAGCACCCTGACCTTTGTTCCTTGGCTCCCCTTGTGTTTTCGTGCTCCCCAAGTTTCACTTGCCCTTTTGTATGTGGGTTTGTTGTTTTGCATTTCCTGGGTTATTGTTTGATACTTGTGGGTGTTGGTGGGGTTGTTGTGTTTTTGTTTTGCTGTTTAATAAACTGTGTGCCTATAACCTTAACAAGTGTGGTCATACTAATTTGGTCCTCCTGCGTGGGTACCTGCATGCGGTGTGGGGACACGTGAGCACGGTACCCTGACAGTAACACACGGAGCACAGGGGTCAGCAGTAGGTTATGCATGGAGTACATGGGTCATGACCATGTAACACATGGAGTACAGAGGTCATCACTAGGTAACACATGGAGTACAGCCGTCATCAGTAGGTAACACATGGAGTACAGGGGTTATGAGTAGGGATGGGCCGAGTGTTCGATTCGAACATGAGTTCGAATCGAACATCGGCATTTCGAGTGCTCGACGAGCGCCGAACTTTATGGGATGTTCGCGGTCTGTTCGACCGCGTACATTCCATAATACAAAATGCCCACTGAAGCTCTGATTGGGCAAAGTCTTGCACCTGACCATAGGTCAGACTTTGCCCAATCAGGGCTTAGCGGAGGAGGGGCCTGAAGGTATGGCTCCCAGCCACCAGACGAAGTGGAGGCAGGGGGGCGGGGCAGAGGATCCGCGGCCGGACTGAAGGAGAAAAGCCGATGGACCGCCGGGACAGCGAACAGATGGACCAGGGGACCGGAGGCCCGGACAGCAGCGGAGGTAAGGGGGCCAGTACACTGTATTTATTGCATGTACCTGCAGCTGTATGGGGGGTCGAACATTCGACCCCCATACACTTGCATTGAGTTCGATTTCGTATTCGAACATTTCGGCTCATCCCTAGTTATGAGTATGTAACGCATGGAGTACAGCTGTCATCAGTAGGTAACACATGGAGTACAGAGGTCATGAGTAGGGGACAGAAGGAAGTAACGAGTTCAGAGCTCTGTAGAAAGTAACACAGGGTTCAGTAGTAACAGGTGGTTCAGGGGCCAGTAGTAAATGATGCAGAGTTCAGCGGTCAGTAGTAAATGATGCAGAGTTCAGGGGTCAGTAGTAAATGATGCAGAGTTCAGGAGTCAGTAGTAAATGATGCAGAGTTCAGGGGCCAGTAGTAAATGATGCAGAGTTCAGGAGTCAGTTGTAAGTGATGCAGGGATCAGTACTAAGTGACGCAGAGTCCTAGAGGCAGCCATCACTGAATGTACAGAACTACAGAAGTACAAAAGCAGTTCACTGCTGCCAAAGATGCCTCTGGGATGTTTGTTTCCCAGGGACAGACCTCTCAAAACAAGGACTGTCCCCTGGGAAACGGGGACGAATGGTAACCTTAGTCTATGTACGTAAATTCAGCAAAAAACAGCAAATCCAATGCAAAGAAAGTACAAGCCTTGTGCAGGTAGGATGTCCCCTGAATGTCCTTTCATGATAAACCCAAAAGCTTGTCTGGAATGTGTTTGTATAGCAGCTTGCGCAGGTAATCAAATTTTCATTTATGTTATGGCTCAGAGAAGCCTGTGTAGGACAAACTAGTGGTTTTTCTATTTGCATGCCAATGAAACATGAAGAAAATGATGAATCTACATGGGAGACGTAAGTACGAGCTGTAAATAGCAACCAGCCTGATACACAACTCTGCAGTCAAGTCATTCCTCCATAACCTTCCGGGAAGAAAGATGCCGTCCCATGCAACGGATTTCTCACTCAGTGTAATCTTTGGAGCACTTTTGTTTGCTGAGTGTCTTGTAGGGATCGCAATAAACACCTTTATTGTGGCTGTTGAGTTCATGAAATGGAAGGCGCTGAGGTCTCTGGATACCTGCAACAAGATTCTCATGTCTTTGGGTATAGCCAGATGCTGCTTGTTGTACAACACCATTCTCTATTATTCCATCTACTTATTTTATCCTTGGCTGTTATCAAACATCATTACAAGCTCAGTCTTTCTGGTGCAGACCGTTTTCCTGTACAACATTAACCTTTGGATCACCGGTGTCTTGAGTGTATTTTATTGCGTGAAGATCACAAGCTACAACCATAAAGTCTTCATATTTATGAAGACCAGGATCTCCAGGCTAGTCCCTCTGTTCCTTGTGGCTTCTCTTCTCCTTTCTATCGCCTTAAGCCTTCCGTTTGGTTGGTATGCTTTGTTCATGGACACAGAAAATTTGTCTAACAGCTCATCCAGTGCTATGGACATCCGTGAAGATTTTCAGTTCCAGAATTTGATGTTCTTCCTGGGTTCCTTTACACCTTTCCTCATATTGTGTGGTGCCGTCTATCTGTTGATTCGATCTCTTCGGAGGCACACCAGACACATGAAAAGGAATGGGACAAGTTTCCAAAATCTGAACTTAGAGGCTCACTTCACTGCCGTGAAAAGCATGGCTCTTCTTTTGTTTTTCCACGTGATGTATTACATAAGTCCCATGGTTGGAGTTGATCACAGTGATAAATTGTGTTTCTCCAATCTTACATTCTGCATACGTGATTTCCAGCAACACCAAACTAAAGCAAGCATTTGTAGAGAACTGTGATAGACTTCTGCAGTGTGCTCGGAGGAGATAGCTCTGAGTTCTGACAATTATTATTTTCCACCAGAGATAGGAGGAAATTATTCTCTGTCTTCACCCTCATTGTGTCCTTGGGCTTCATGCTTTGCTCTTTGCTTCCTTTAGCTAGCTTTTTTAGACACATTCCTGTCCTGCAATTTTAGCCTATGGATAGGGCAGCTCTGTATTTCATGAAACTGTCCATCAGTTTGTTACAATTGCATATATAAATAAAGCAAACCTGTCACCGGGAGCAGGCACCGCCAAGTGCCTTCTACTAAAGTATATATATGAAGCTTTTTTTCATATTGGATAGAGCAGGTAATTATTAAAACTAGGGATGCACCGATAAAAGCATCGGCATCGGCGGCGATACCGAGTATTTGCATGAGTACTCGTGCAAATACTCCGATACAAAAAACGAGTACCTGTGCCGCATCCGCCATCTTCAGGGACCCGAAACCGCCGCACACAGGACCTCCATCGCGTCTTCAATTAAACAAGATGGCCGCAAACTCCTCCTCCAAGTCCTCAGTCATCTGCCCCATTCTGACCTCTTCTCTCGCTGATTGACCGATTGGATGATTGACAGGCTTTCTCACCAGTCAGGAGTGACTGGTGAGGAAGCCTGTCATCATCCAATCAGCGGAAGAAGAGGTCAGAATGGAGCAGATGACTAGGCTGTGACACGGAGTGGCTGAAGCAGACGGAGAAGACGACACGACACAGCAGGTTAGTACTGCAGCACTGCATGGGGGCTGGGCACAAAAATGCTGTTTAACTACATATAATATTTAAAAATAAATAAAGAAATAACTATGTAGATATTGCTAACTTAGGCTTGTATCCCCCTAGTGGGGAAAATAGATGAGGACATATCCAGACTCCAGAACAGTGTATTATTGTATAGTGTGGCACAGCTATATCCAATTCTGCATACCTGGCTTTATATTATAAAGTTCTTATAATATAAAGCCAGGTATGCAGAATTGGAAAGAGCTGTGCCACACTATACAGTGTTCTGGTCTGGAGTCTGGACACGTGCTCATCTATTTTCCCCACTATGGGGATACAAGCCTTAGTTACCAATGGCATGATAAATATTAATTTAATGTTCATTTCATGTTTATTTCATGTTCATGTTCTTCATAATATTAAGAAACTGACCTAAAATCATGATTTTGTATTGCTTTAGAAAAAATGTGACCTGTCCCTTTAAGAAAAAGTGAGTACTTGAAAAAAAGTATCGGTACTCGTACTCGGTCTTAAAAAAGTGGTATCCGTGCATCCCTAATTAAAACCCAACTGTGTTGGTCAGTTGTGTCTCATTGGGCAGATTTCCCTTCACGTCTTGTAAAGTGGAGACAAAAGGAATTAAGAGATAATTTCTGCAATGGGGAATCCCCTTTTACAAGTGTCTCCTTTGGAAGATTTCCCCATTAGTCCTGTTGTGGTGACAGCTCAAAATTTTGGATTACCTATTTCATACAGTCCGAGGGACAATGGCCAACGGGACAAATACATACAGTAATAAAAAACCTCTGTTGTTTATTGAAGGCTTAACAAGACAGGTGACAAAGAAAGGGTGCCAAAAGACAATTGGGGCCTCAGGGGGACCCTTATCTCAAGGTGAAGTCTGTCACCCTAAGAAAGATATCTGTAAAAGATAAGTCAAGGCAACTGTTTCACTGGTCGTCCAACCAGCTTTCTCAATTCAGAATGACTTGTACAAATATTATCTGGGAATAAATATGGTGAATGTTGCTCCAATCCACATAATCTGTTAGTCGCAAACAGGTGCTAATTGCATTTGCATGATTGGAGCTAGTAGGTGTTATTAACCCGCCCAGAGAGAGGTGTTAAAACAGCATTGTATGTGGCAGACAATTGATGTCTCACCCCACCACCTCTATTCAAGCTTGGCTTCTCCATTGTTATATAAAGGGACTCTTTCACACCTCTTTTGAACCAGTCCTCCTCCCTGTCTAGGTTGCGTACCTGTTTTGTACAAGTCATTCTGAATGGGGAAAGCTGATCGGATGACCAGTGAAACGTCTTCAAGAAAAATACAGCAAGTCCAGTTGCCTTGCCTTATTTTTTACAGATATACCATGACCTGGATGAATGAGAACCTTCACAATCACCCTAAGAAAGAGGTCCATTGAGGCAATGAAATGTCTTTGGGTACTATATCTTAGTCACCTGTTGAGCCCTCAATAAACAACTGAGGCTCATTATAGAGTGCTGGCTTTTTTTCATTTTATGAGCTAAAATACGCGATCAGCGGTAGCTGTTCAACCCCTATCAGTGGTGTTCACGGTAAGGTATTGGATGGATTTGTCTATAGCAGTAAAAACCTGCCAGACATTGTAAGCTTTCAACCCTCTATCCAAAACTAGAAAACATGGCTTTATATTTTACCCTTGTAAGCCACCCAGAAATTAGTTTAAATTTGTTAGTAGGAGCATGACATCCTTGACTTTTGTCCTACCTATTCAGCGTTTCTCTGTCCAATCACAGTATCCTTAATGGTAGTTGAAGTCTTCTCTTTGAACAAAGGACTAAGAGGTGTATTAGACAAGTGCACTGTCAAAAAATTCGTTTAGTTTTGTTTCGTTTTAATTCCGATTTTGTGTTATTTCGTTTTTCGGGATTCGGGTGTGAAAGTCAATTTGGATTTAGAATTCAGATTTGGACGAAATTCGTTAGCGGTAGTTCGGTCGAACGTTCGTTTCGGTTTCGTTTCCTATTCGTTTCATTCGTTTGTTTACAGCAAAGTGACATTTGAAGGGGAAAAAATGTTTTTCTCCTTCTCTAATGTCACTTTGCTGCAACGAACGAACGAAACGAATGGTCGAACGAACTACCACTAACGAATTTCGGAAACGGAAATTCGGATTCGCTTGCATTCGTTATATCTGAAATTCGGAATTCGGATACATCCGAATGTCCGAATTTCCCAAAATTCATCCGAATTTCGTTTCGGAACGAAACAAATTGCACATGTCTAAGGTGCTTTGAACTTGGTCCCAAAGTCAGGAAACCCAATCTATTAGACACAGTGACACCAGCTTCAGAGGAATGTTTTTGGACTAATAAAAGTAATGGTAGATGCATTTCAGTCAGTTGTTATCAGCACATACAACTGTGCCTGTAATTCTTTGTGTAGGACCCAAATATTTTAAACACAGCTGCTCCCAATGAGGCATAAGATGAATATATTACAGATAGGGGTTAAGTAATGTTAGAGGCTACTTATGGGCTAGGTTAGTATAGGTATAGGGGAAAAATAGGTATAGGGGAAAGATAGGAACATAGGTATAGGGCAGGGGTAGGCAACCTTGGCTCTCCAACTGTGCTGAAACTACAAATCCCACCATGCTTCTGTCTCTGGGAGTCATGCCTGTGGCTTTGCAATGCCTTATGGGATTTGTAGTTTCAGCACAGCTGGAAAGCCAAGGTTGCCTACCCCCCGGATACGGGAAAGAAAGGGTTTACTTTCAGTTTTAAAATTAATGTCCAACTCCAGCTCCAGTTGTGTGCCGCCCCAATGGGGCATAGAAGTTTATTTAGATAGAAGGTTTATATAGATTGTTTTCCCTATACCTTTTCCTATGGACGTTTTTATAGTTCCTATGCTGCCATCTAGTGGCCTTTGTGATATTGCACCTGTTTTTCTGTATGACAGTTGCTCTGTATGTAAGCCCCACCCTTCGTTTTGTTGTCAGTTTTCCTGTGTCATGGCCACAGCTAACAGCCACATGTATCAGGAGACATGTACTCTGCATAGTACCCTAGGAAAGGCATAATTTTTTGACCGCATAACACTGTAACCATCCATCTGCTGTTATCCTGTTATCTTCACGTTCAGAATAAAGCAACCTTTGTGGACGAACACGGTATTGGTGAGTTCAGCTATCTGACAAGGATTGTCCGCAGTGATTGTATCTGCTTATACAGGCCAGGCTTAGAGGTCTCAACAAGGGATAAATCGCTATCACAACAATCGGAGTCAGAATAAGTTGCCCAGGATAACTTAAAATTTGTTGATGTTGGCTTGTAATGAGGTGGTAGCCGCCCCTCAAGGTGAAGTCCAACCTTTTTGCAACCAGGCAACATGGCTGTCACTTAAAATACTGAGTTGTAGGATATATAAGGGCAGGTGGGTGGAATTTTTGGAGGAATTTGACCCATTTAGGGGGCAGTTCCCCATTGGAGCGGGTTAGTAACTGGGACTGCGCTATGCAAGGTGAGTGTCTTCTAGGTTAAGGATGCCCTTCCTATTGGAGAGAGAGCTAGATGTTGAAGGTATGCTGGGAGTTTCCTCAACAAGAGAGACTAATTGAGCGCCACAGTAACCCTGTAAGGTGGAAAGATGTTGCTATATTGCATGAACTTTGTTATTCCACTTTACTGGAAGCAAAAAACTTGTTTGATTCTGACCGTTACACTTATTCAAATGGAACTCCTCATGGTAAAGTAAATACCAACATTTATTGATAAAACAAGTCAAAACTCACATGTATAGAAAGTCCTGGAGCAAAAGGCAAAAGAATAGGCGAAAGGACGGCATGACAGGGTAGGCAGGCAGTCAGGTAGAGAAAGGGTTAAGTTAGCCAAGGGAGGTGCTCGGGTGGTCACTTACCATGATTGGCTGGGTCAAGTGGTCCAGGAGGAGCATCCAGGGTGGTTAGAGCAGGAGGAGGGGTGATCCAGGCAGTTGGGAGTCAGCACAAGGTCAGTTCACTTCCCGCCCTCCCTCCCTAACGGTTTATTTATTTATTTATTTTCTGCTTGTTTTAATTCACTTGCTTGTCTTTCAGAGGCTGGATCTCGGTGGCGTTGGTTAGGTCTGCGCATGGCGGGCTACGGTGGCTGTGGGCTGCGTCCGTGGTGCGCGGCCCCGTTTGTTCTCTGGCGGGTTCAGCAGAGAGAGAGGTCAGAAATAGGTGTAGGAGGTCTCTGCTGTTACTTCCCAATGTTGT